TCCACTGATAAACTGATCCGCAACAACACATTTTTTGTTGCCACATGAGGCCAAAATGATTTCCAGAGGGCTTCTCCAAATCTAGATCTTAATCCAACACTTCAGACGGAGAGTCGGGATGAGAGCCGCGAAGGGAAACTCTAAATGTCTTCGGTCAAGAAGAAGGATGATTAGAGGTTTCTTTTTAAGAGATTTTAGTCTTGATTTTTATCTGATGTGTTTAAGAGGAGATAAGAAGGAGTGAGGCAGGATAACGGGGGGAGGGAAGGGAGAGACTGTGAGCCAGGAAGAGAGACAGAGATGAGATTAGAGAAAGCCAGCTTACCAGTGTGTATTAAATCCACCGCTCTATCAGTGACAGTGGACTTGTTCCAGCCGTTAGACTAGCCGTGTGTGTTTGAAGGGATGAGCCACCTAACCAGAGCGTGTCTCCATTTGGGCTTATTGTGTACGAAAGTGTGTGTGTGTGTGTGAGGTGCAGTTTCTAACATGTGTGTGTCAAGTCCACATAGTGTGTCCACAACAAGACAAGCTCCTTTGAACAGATGTCTGAATTTATTACTTGTATTTCTTCTTATTCTTAGATTAAATGTTATTCTTTTTTCAGGCAGTAATCATACAGTATTTTTTTTTAGCCAATTCCCATCCATGTTATTGCAAGATTATTAGTTATCCATTAGTTATCGATTATTAGTTATCTGTTTTTCATTTGTTTCCTTCCTTACTTTCAGTACATTTGTTTTTGAGATGTTTTGTTTTTAAACTAGAAAATGAATACTATCCTCTGGTTCATTATCGTACCCTAACCCCATTTATCTTCTACATTCCCACCTTCTCTTCTGTTATCTCCAGCGCTCACCTGCTTACTCATCGTTCCACCCATCCATCCATAAGGGAGAAACCACCTGATCCAAGCCCAGAAGCAGTGACCCTGCCCTGTCGTTATGTCAGAGCAGCACCACCTCATTTCCTCCTTGTTTCTCCATCACAGGCTAAACACATTTGTATTCCACAGGAGAAATAGTTACTCTCTGAACTGGCTCCTCTGTCTGGTAATTAATTGGGGGATGGTGGTAGAGCGTGGGATAAATGGAAAGAGAGACAGTGCAGTTAATGGGGAGAATTGAAGTTGAAAAAAGGAATGTAATAGGGTTGCGACTATAGCGAAGGATAAACCTACTTAATGTCATTTAATGCACCTTTATCGGTGCTGATTACAGTTTCATAAGCAAAGATAAGAAGACATAAGTCATGGTGACTTACATGTATTGTACCGTGCTTGCACTGATCAAGGCGTAGTCTGCAATGAGACCATAAACCCTACGTAAGCTAAACATAATTGGACCGTCATTTAAGTCTTTCTGTGGAGCACACACCAGTAGAAAGACATGAAGAATGATCAGTGTCTGAAGTATCAAACATTTGTACCCTGTGACTTGTTTTAACTTTGCAAAAACACAGCATTTCCCATGGAAAATAATTGAACTGAAACAATGTTTTTTTTTTTGTCAGCCAAAACAACTGTGCTTAAATACCTCATTCACACCAACGGTGTTTCGGGGCCGGTTCGGAGCTGGAGCTTGAAAAGCACCGGGTTTTTCTGTTCACAACGCAGCGGAGCAGCCTCTTAGCTCCGGAATCCGGTTCATTTCGAGCACCAAAAAATTGTCCGGCCAGAGCAAAAGCACCACATACGTCACGCTTACGTCGAGGCGGGGGCAGGGGCAGGGGCAGGGGCAGGGGCAGGGGCAGGGGCAGGGGCAGGGGCAGGGGCAGGGGCAGGGGCAGGGGCAGGGGCAGGGGCAGGGGCAGGGGCAGGGGCAGGGGCAGGGGCAGGGGCAGGGGCAGGGGCAGGGGCAGGGGCAGGGGCAGGGGCAGGGGAGGGGGCAGGGGCAGGGGCAGGGGCAGGGGCAGGGGCAGGGGCAGGGGCAGGGGCAGGGGCAGGGGCAGGGGCAGGATCAACTCCTGAACAACAACAAAAAGCCCGCGTTGTATCCAGTTTGTACACAACGATGGAGAAACTTAACAAGCAGCAGTGGTCCACTGAAGAGACCTACTACTTACTGGGAATCTGGTCTTCTGAAGAGTTACAGAGGAAGCTGGAGCACAATCGGCCATTGTTGTTGTTGTTGTCGGTGTCAGCTGTGAGGGGTTTCCGCACGGTTTGGCTTTATGAAGCAGGCACGCAAACGGTTACGTCATGACGCAAACGATGACGCAATGACGCAGCAGCAGTCGGACTCTGGGCGGTGTGAAAAGAGCCGGAGCTAAACCGAAGAACCGGTTCTGAACCTGAAAAGCTCTAGCACGGAGCTTGAACCGGAGTTGCGTTGGTGTGAATGAGGTAAAAGAAGCAGTCTTCCAAGGTTCAAATAAACACTGACAAACATGCTGGGTGTGAAGGAGTCTTGGTTTCATAAAACCCAGACTAGGAAAATAATAATGGGAAATTATCATCATCATAATCCCATCTCACAATACCTCTAACCTATATCTCTGCAGGTTATCTTTGTTGTTTAGTCCCAATTACTATAAACGATGTATCACACATTCATTCACAAAGCACATCATGACCTGTTCTCCTATTCTCTCAGCAGGCAACTGATCTTTCTCTTAGTTCAAATCTCTTTGTGTTTTGTCTCCTTAAATTCTGTCGATCCCATTTCCAACAAACAGAAATGTGTTTCCAACCAAATCAGTTGTTTGGCAGCAGGATGTCTGTCTGGCCAATCAGCTGCTAGTTTGATCTCTAAGCGTCCAATCAGCTCTTCATCTCACACACTTGGAACTCCCCCCAAATCCAATCAGCTTTGAGTTTAAAGGCCTTAAAGAACCAATCATTCTCCAGTTTGATCTGGGTTTTGAATCTCATTTTGGTTTGAAGACTTTTCTGTGTCTGACTGTGTGTGTTTGTGTAAATAAATGCTACCGTAAACAGAGTCATGGTGAAACCTTTGAATACTCAATCAATGTGTGAATATAATCTAATAAAGCCAGATATGTATGTGTGTGAGCCTTTTCTTTGAACTGAACTCACTCACACAAACACACACACAGCACTATGTCAGCCTAGACAAGTTAATCCAAGATAAGAGAGCGACAGGCCTTTTCATTACGGGCATCAGCTCCCAAACAAAGGCTAGTTGACAGGCCGGCTAACTAAAGCACAAACAAACACACCCACACACACTGGATAAAGTTATTTGAAGGTACTAAAGCGGCTGTAGACAAACAATGCTCTAATAGAAACCCAATTTCAAAGACAGTAGCAGCAAATTGGGTATTTTTTTCTCCAACTACGCATTCAAGGCGATTATCTGCACTATTTTGACTAAAAGAAACACAAACCAAGTGTTAGATAACTAATATTTTGCTCCATTTTAACAGCGGTTTGCTCCTTTCTAATAATTATGCTTACTGTGGGAGCAGTTCATTAAAGTGTTACCTTGAGTTGATGTTCCCAGTTAGTCTTAAAGGTGGGGTAGGTAAGTTTGAGAAACCGGCTCGAGATACACTTTTTGTTATATTCCATGGAATGCTCTTAACATCCCGATAGCAATGAATATCTGAAATGCTTTGACAACAAATCCATAAAAGAATCTCATCTGTGGAAGCCGTGGCGCTGTAAAAAGCACGACCAATCATCTGAGCCGGCCCGGCTAAAGTAACTGGATGGCCTACCTGCCTGTCAGCCTTCCATCTGTGCACAAACTTATCTCGTGCCCTCATTGGTTCGTGTGTGTTGGAGGAGGGGCTCTGTAAGGAAGTGGCAGATTTTTTCCGGCTGTGTATTTTCAAATTCTAGCGCACTCGAGCTGGTTTCTCCAAAATTAACTACCCCACCTTTAACTGTGGAGGATAAGCTGAAAAACTCTCCTTAATTACCACATTAAATCAAATGTATTAAATCCACACCTTAGTGTAAAAACAAGTTACCAGAGGTTATGTACCTGAATTATTGTTTTATTACTGCATCTTTTTAACATTGAAGAGATGCAGTAATGCTATCCTGCCTACAGAGGGCAAGTTACTACAACTAACCAATGAACTGTGAAGATTCTGCAGTGAAACAGAAAAAAAATCTTCCACTTTTTATTTTCTCTGATATTTAACACCAGTGAAGTCTTCTTAACCATCTTACTCGTTACATACATTCTCTCTTGTTTCCCTTTTAAGTCCTCATACACGCTATCTTTCATCCCATGCATTACGTTTCGCTTCATGCATGTATTCTCTTTTCCCTCTGTGCATGTTTCCTAAAGCCTTTATTTCTCACTGCATGCGATCTCTCTCCTTCTACGTCAGTCTCTGCATAATGTATGGTCTCTCTCACACGCTAGGTTTCCTTATAGCACCATCTTCACATGTACGCTGTTTCTCTCTCTTCATGGGACATTAACATCAGCTTGGCTTATAACAGATCCTGACAGAGACAAGACAAAGTAAACATGTCCCCTTTTCTCTCCTCCTCTCCATCCCATATACACACACATCTTTGTTTTTCTGTCACTGTGTCGAGAGGCTGAAACACACACAATGGCAACAACATAATCTCCCATCTGGTCAGTGTTCGTCTGTCCAAAACACAAGCCAGTCCTTTTTCCAGCAACCATTTGAAATCACACACACACACACACACACACACACACACACACACACACACACACACACACACACACACACACACACACACACACACACACACACACACACACACACACACACACCACACACACACACACACACACACACACACACACACACACACACACACACACACACACACACACACACACACACACACACACACACACACACACTTTTCCTTACAGTAGTTCTCCTTCCTCCCACACACTCTGTAACGGCTGAATAGAGCCATTTCTAACTCTCCCTCTTCCTTTCCTCGAATATGTATAAGTGCTCTTTTGTCACAGCCTTGGACTCTTTCTTTGGTCTTTTTGTGAAATCGCACACGCACACACTCTTTCCACTGGTCTTACCTGCGCTCACAGTGATGGCCTCGATGAACTGGTCTCTCCAGCTGTTGGTTCCCACCAGCAGAGCCAGGTTGGTCTTCTTTATCAGCTTGTCCACCGTGTTCTGCCCGACAACAGAGGAATAACAATGGTTAGACAATGGTTGTTCACACTCAAGCCACATCATTTTATAAAATCATTCATGTGCATACATTTGCCATTTATTAGATTGCTTTACTCCATAAAACAAAACAAACACATTTAGTGACAGACTAAAGGAGAAGACAGCTGTAACATGTTAATTCCTTTTAAAGAGGCGATGGTGGGCAGGGAAGAGGGGATTTATGGGAAATGCATGAAAAAAATCACCATACAACCTGACAGATACATAGGCAAATGTTCATCTCTACTCTGCGGTTGTGGTAGCATCACACGTCGTTCGATAATGATATTCAAATGTACTAAACCTCTTTACATACAGTTTTCCCCCCTTATGTAACTTTTACAGTGAGAAAATACAATTGTATTCGATCCAAAGGTGTTCACAGCATTCTTTGTTATGATTGGACCAAAAGGAAAACCAGACTCCATCTCTTTTATGGTGGCATCGTTTAATGAAATTGAAATATTCTAGCATGATTTTATACTCAATGATCTCTAAATCCATCAAAGAATATTTAATATATTCATTTATTTAGGATTTTAGCTAATATGGAAAATAAAGTTCTGCTTTGAACAAAGTTTGGCGGCACAGAGTCATTTAACTTTTTACATATGTCCACATAGGACTAAAGAAAATATAAGTCAAACCATTTTTCCTATCTGCTGTCCTTTTCTTTGCTTCTGCACATCCCCCGTTTCTTTCATTTTCTTACTTTCTATCCATAACCTCTCTGTCCTTCCTCCCTCCTTCCTCTGTCTCCTTAATTCCTAGTCTTAATACTTCTTTGCCGTTTTCTTCAAAAGGAAGCAACTACGAGATAACACACAAACACTCCTGTACACACACACACACACACACACACACACACACACACACACACACACACACACACACACACACACACACACACACACTTAACACACTAATTAGCAAAGCAGTGGGATTGCGCTTTCCCTTTTCTCCACTTCAGAGAGAAACTGGGATAGTAATTGTGTTGAATGGAGCTTAGGGGTGTCAATAGTGCCTCACACACACACCCACCCACCCACCCACCCACCCACCCACACACACACACACACACACACACACACACACACACACACACACACACACACACACACACACACACACACACACACACACACAACACACACAACACACACACACACACACACACACACACACACACACACACACACACACACACACACACACACACACACACACCAGCAGCAGCTTAACTCTGCCTTATGTTTGTGAAGTGTTTATCTCACCATACTCTGCTAGGTTTTAATAACACCTTCCTTCACATGCTGATATTTTTACCTCCTGACTCTCTGTCTCATTTCCCCCTCAGACTGCTGTGAAATGCATATGTGGATTTATTTATGTCTTTGCAAGTGGACACATGTGAAGCTGTGGGAGACTGAAGGCATCAGAATTGTTTTAGTCATCGGTCCATGTAACAGCAATAATTGCTCAGCAGAAGGCAAAATAATATAGTTGACTTCAAGCTGAGTCACAATACATTGCACTATGACACATGTCTTTTCTCTTTCCCCATTATGACTATTATTCTGACTAACCCAGCAGCATCCTCCAGGTTTGAAAAGTGATGCAATTAAGTGCCTTAAACCTGCATTCTCTATATTATCCAGCAGGGGGCAACTCCACTGGTTGGAGCAAAAAGAAGCCAGATTTTGTAAGAGTCTATGAAAAAAATACCCTACCTATTACGACAATACTAACTGATTTATTATATGATTATTGTCCCAATCCTAGTTTTTAGTCTTCTTCAAAACAGCATGACATTGGTCCCATTAAGAATGACATACAATATAACGCAGGGTATGCTTTAAGGTGTGGCTACCTTGTGAGAACCAGATTGCTCCAACAGTGTTTTTAGATTTAGGTATTGTCTGTGTTTTGTCTAAGAAGTTTAACGCATTTGAAGTGTGTTTTCAGTTCATGAGAGTTCAATGTGAAATGTAGTCGCCTCAAAATGTGTTATTCAGTGTTCGGTTGCACATCTCTCTACCCTATCATGTCACTTCTGGTTACTAAAAAACAATATAGCGATGACTAAAAGGCCAAACTCAAGGCGTTCTAACCAATGGGTGACATCATGGCGACTACACATCCACTTCTTATAGTCTGTATGGCTCCTGTGGCTCAGCGACGTAGATTCATTTCTCTATGAATATTTTAAAGCATATTATAATGATCACAAATTAATAGCCATTACTAAAAGACCCTTTCCTAATGCTCATCAATTTTCTTTTTTGAAAGAGTTATGTTTGCAATTGATGTTATTACAGCTCTTTTCATTAATTTAGTGGTTATATTGGTTGAATAACGCTCACATAGATGTCGAAAGAAAACTTGAACTTCAAAAGAAACTTTCCATTAATGCAGCTTTCCTATTTTCTCCTATAATCTGTTATGTCAGACACTTATATAACATTATACTCCAGTAGCTGCCAATGGGGAGTACTTCAGCTAACTGTAAGATAGGGTTACATGCGCACACTCTCACACACAATTTAATGTACAAAACTACTTGACAAAGTATAGCATCACGACGAGTGGTTAGCTATTACTGGGTGTTATTAACAGCCTTTCTGTCTAGGCGTGTAGGTGGAGTGGCAGCTAAGAACATGCTGTTCACACACACACACACACACTTGCACATACACACACACAAAACATGGGTAATTACATGCACACTTAGCGTCTTAAGAGTCTGCGTGGGAGAGGCAGAGCATACAGTACAAACAATGTTCCCTGTATGTATTGGAATGGTTTGTGAGTGTAACATGTGAGGGGGGTCCTGTGGGAAATCAAAAGTTAGAGTTGCCTTGTTTTCTATTTAAGTCAGCAACTTAAATGACTGTTTTCTTAACCTACCCGATAAGTTTGGTTGGGGTATCGTTCTGTTTTTCTTCCCATTTACATAGTAAGAAAAACTGCAACCTTAATATAGGAGAACATATGTTTCCCATGATAAAGTGAAAGAGAATCTATGCACAGTTATAGGGTAAGGTTATTTTAGAAGTTGATGAGAGACCTGTAGTTAAGTTTGGATAACTTATCAAAAACTGGGTTGAGTGCACGTCATCATAAAATAATAAACTGAATTGGTCACAGAACGGTTTGTCAGGTCATTTGATTTGTTGGCGGTTCAATGGAGAAACATTGGACCTTGAAAAAAAAAAATATGGTACTCAAAATACAGAACTAACAAAAGTTGATTAGACTGTAGCTTAAAGCATTCACTCCTGCCACATAGATCTCTGATAGAATTCAGCCATGTTGATTTGTTTATTTAACCTGACCACACACACACACACACACACACACACACACACACACACACACACACACACACACACACACACACACACACCCCCTGCCTTACCTTGAACTCATACGATTCCTCTATGATGACTTCCAGTTTGACGTGGTCTCCCAGCATGGGTCGGCCCATGTCAGCAACGCGCTGATCGTCTTCATCTTTTCCTGCCAGCGCCTCTTCTTCCTCCTCCACTTCCTTCAGCTGTTCCTCTGAAAACACCACAAGACATCGCTGGCAATGTTAGAACAGGATGAGAACGATAAAGTATAAAGACTGCAAAGAGATAGAAAACAGGACAGGAGAGGTAATGATGGTCGTTGATGATGGGAAATGCGTTTACACACAGGGAAGACATACTGTAGCTTACAAGGAGTTGAGTTAAAGTAAAGTAGATATTTAAGCTATAATTATATGTGTAATCAATGATAAACAGGTCATAATATCTTCCTGCATTTAGGGGGCCAGCCTGAGCCAAAACACTGCAGCAATTAGCATTTTTTGTTACCGTTTTTGAGCATCCAAAGCCACTCGAAAATGCAATGTGGCTGCCATAAGACCATGTATGGAAAAATACTGAATTGAATGAAATTCTCTCTGTGTCTGTGGTTTCAATTGACATCATTACGTTCACACTGTTCAAAAGTTATGGTAACATTACTAAATGAAAATGTCCTCATTATCTTTGGCTCTCTGTTTCTCACACACAACCCCTCCCTCCCTCCCTCTCGCCTCCATTTTCTTCTATTACCCTTTTCTTTATGGTGCGTGTCAGTAATTGAGATTCACTGTAGGGCCTTAACTCACTGCTGGGATCAAAGAGAGACAGAAAGAGGGAGAGAGGGGAGGAGAAATACAAAGAAAGGGGAAGGAGAGAGAAACGTCATGATCGAATGTTCTATGGGGGAACGGTTATCCATGCTATTGCCTCCCATCCTACAGTGCAGTGCATTGTGGGGGTGCAGCTCATTGGTCATTTGTTCCCCTTAGTTGAGTGCACGGAGCTTAGAGCTGCACACATGCATGCACATTCTAACTTCTACTGCAGCATCAGCAAGAAATCAATCCATCTGGCATTAAGGCCACCTTTGCATCCATGAAGCATGAGAGCTGAAGGTAGGAAGGGAAGCAACTGAAGCCTCAAAGGCCAAAAAAACCGGTCTGAGGTGTGACATTTTCAAAGTTAGGATCAACTACGGCCTGAATTTAATTAAATGACAAGTTATTTTTCTGCTACAGCACAATCCCGTGGTCACTAAATGATCAAATTCATACCCAAAAGAGAGAAAAGCTCAATTTTGTTAATGCTTTAAATCAGAACAAAACCTGCTTTAACCAGTCATCTGATATGCACCCGGATAGAACGAGACAATAACATGGCTTTATTTTAAACCATATTTAAATAAATTAACCTCATTTGTTAATAAAAAGCTATTTACTTGACTTCAAAATGTACCTTTTTTATTTTACAACCAGGATAAAATCACAAAACTGTTTTGTTTACGTTTTGGTTTGAAGTCGCAATTACTTTAATATACACACACTACACACACTAACTATCTAATCGTGATTTGATGAGCTCAATTAACAGCCTACACTAAACCTAATGTGGGATGAACACTGCCGGGGAGTATCCTTGTTAGCTACACTCCCTGTGTGCATGCGTGTGTGTGTGTGTGTGTGTGTGTGTGTAACGGGGCCTGACAGAGGTTGAATGTTGCTGGGGAAGATGCTGCTTCTTGTCAAGGCTGCTGTACCATTAATCATTAATTTAGATTTTTTTTTCTACCTGTCCATCTCTCTGCTACACATACACACACACACACACACACACACACACACACACACACACACACACACACACACACACACACACACACACACACACACACACACACACACACACACACACACACACACACACACACACACACACACACACACACACACACACACACACACTGAAATGTCTGAATAGAGGGAATCCAGTGTTGAAATTGGGCATTTTACTGTAGTTTTTCTCCTCAAATGTGAGTGCTGCATCTTTCAATACAGGCAGCAACAAAAAATAGAGCAGGACATAATCTACCTCCGCCCATCCCTGAATATCTCTCTGTGTTACATAACTGTTTCTAACCCCTTCTCCTTCTTTCTTAATCTTCATATGCCTTTCATCTACTCTGTCATCTCATCCTCTTCGTCCCAGCTTCCCAGCTTTTAAACCCAGTTCCTCCTCCTCTCTCTGCCTTTCTTTTTAATTCCTTCTTTCCTGGTATGGTTTCAATTCAAATGAGCTTCAGCAAACTACCTCCCATAGTCTAACTGCCAACAACCCCGAAAAAAGGTGGACTTTTCCATCGTTTTTGGTCTATTGTTCCTCAATTAGCACCTTTAAATGTTGGTAATACATCCTTATTATTATTATCATATCATCTTGTTTATGTTTCCCCTGTCTGTTCACAGTTAGAAATAACAGAAGGTGTTCCAGTGCTACATATCAGTCATAAACTAAACTTGTATCAGCCTTGTTTTTAGCAAACCACACTCCTAGAATGATGTCCAATTAGTACAGATGTAATAGAAGTGCAATGTACAGATTCGGTTTAAATTATGAGATCGACACAAATGTAAAGTTGTAACAATGGAAGAATCAAAAGCAAAGTCTTGTGAAGTGAAAATAGTCTAACATACGAATGCCTTGAAAATATGTTCTTAGACTTTTCAATGTGACAGTGTAGTGCAGTGTTCTCTTCACATTGAAACACCATGACATGTGACAGTCTCTAGTCTGGATAAAACATGGGTCAATATGTGCTGACGAGAGGTAGTGCTGTGTGTGAGTGTGTGTGTGTGTGTGTGTGTGTGTGTGTGTATATATTGGATTTCACACATTGTCATGCTTTGATAGAGTCCCTAGTTCAACAGAAGTGATGGGAGAACACAGGGAGAGAGGAGTAGAGATGGGGGAGTACGAAAAAGAGTAAAAAGGAAAGACAAAAGAGGAGAGGAAATGAGAGGGAAGGAGAGGAGATGAGAGGAGATAAGAGAAGAGGAGAGGAGATGAGAGGAGATAAGAGGAGAGGAGAGAGGAGATAAGAGGCGAGGAGAGAAGAGGAGAGGAGAGGAGAGAAGAGGAGAGAGGAGAGGAGATAAGAGGCGAGGAGAGAAGAGGAGAGGAGAGAGGAGAGGAGATAAGAGACGAGGAGAGAAGATGAGAGGAGATGAGAGGAGATGAGAGGAGATAAGAGGAGAGAAGAGGAGATGAGATGAGAGGAGATAAGAGGAGAGGAGAGGAGATAAGAGGAGAGGAGAGGAGAGGAGAGGAGATAAGAGGCGAGGAGAGAAGAGGAGAGGAGATAAGAGGAGATAAGAGGAGAGGAGATAAGAGGCGAGGAGATAAGAGGTGAGGAGAGGAGATGAGAGGAGATAACAGGCGAGGAGAGGAGATGAGAGGAGATAAGAGGAGAGGAGAGAAGAGGAGATGAGGAGATGAGGAGATAAGAGGAGAGGAGAGGAGAGGAGATAAGAGGCGAGGAGATAAGAGGAGAGGAGAGATAAGAGGCGAGGAGATAAGAGGCGAGGAGAGAGGAGAGGAGATAAGAGGCGAGGAGAGGAGAGATGAGAGGAGATAAGAGGAGAGGAGAGAGGAGGAGAGGAAAGAAGAGGAAAAGGAGAGGATTTTGACACCCTTTTATGTTTGATGGATTCAGCTTCCATGAAAGAGACAGAAGCGGAGGGTGAAGTTAGAAAGGAGGGGAGGTGTCTTTCCAAACTGTCAACATGTAAAGGCAAAAGGAGGAGCAGAGGGGAGAAACTTCTGCGCCCTGTCGAGGAGGAGCAGATGAGCAGATGGAAGGAGAAAGCAGACAGGAGAAGATGTGATTTTGACGGGAGGAAAGTGTACAGCAGGGGACGAGGCAAGGAGGAGGAAGAAGAAGGAGCTACTGTCACACTTTGGGAGATTCCCATAGGAGGAGACAGAATAGGAGCAGAGGAGAGGAGAGGAGGACGGATACAAGGGATAACAAAGAGGGCGAAGACATATGAAGGAAGTTGGTAGGAAAGAGTGAGAAGAGGAAAAGGGAAAAGGAGAGAGGGTGAGAGGAATGAGGAGGATGATGGGGAGTAAAGAGGAAGACATAATGATAGATCAAATGTACGATACGTGACAGATGAGGAAGAGAAGAGGAAAGAGAAGCAGGAAGTAAAAAGTCAAGAAGGGGACAAAGGAGGTAGATGAGGATGAGAAAGGATAAGGAAAGGAGATGAAAACGAAATGAGAGTAGCAAAAGGAAGGGAATAGGAGGGATAAAAGGGGAAGGTAGAAAAGGAAGGTAATAGTTGAAAGGAAATGGATGAGCAGAAGCTGAGATAGGGATGGACATCATCCTCCTCCCCTGAGTTGATAAAACTGACATGTGAAAAAATACAATAATGTTCTGTTTGATCTTGCTTACAGTTAATTTACAATAATAATAAGTGCTCTGGTAGAACAAACAAAACAACTATTGCATTAACTGTTTCAATTATCATCCGTCATTGTTGCTAATGTAAATGTTAGTCACTAGAAAAAAGATACATTTATTTCAATTGTTGGTGATTTGTACTGTTAATGTCAGGCTTAATGATACTGGTGGAACAGTAAACATCATTATTAAAATGTATTACTGATGTTGTTTACCATTGTCTCATTATGGATATAATGTACAGGGTATATGCAGGAATCCTGAAGTCAGATGTAGGCTAATCCCTTTTAAGACCTTTTTTAAGACCCTTTCCATTTTAAGACCTCGTCGCCACTTTGAGTTTTAACCGGTTACCTTGGCGACACACTTCACCTGACATTGACTATATACAGTATTGATTGTCCTTCCTCCTTATCTTCCAACCATTTGGACGCAGACTTGCATTTCCCCATAACGATGTTGTTTAACAACCGGCGCAAACGGAGCTTCGCGCTATCAAGCAGTGAGCGTGCGATGTCCTGTTCAGATGACGTCCAATCCAACGGGATGCCATAAATAAACGACACAGAATCACACTACGCACCTACGCAATGATTACATTCAGGCAGACGGTAGAATACAACCTCTTTGGACCAGTGCTGGAATTGGGCCGGTACTCACCGGTACGCAGTACCGGCACTTCTGGTTCTGACCCATGGAGTACCGGCACTTCTTGCTCAGTACCGGCATGCTGGCGGTACTCCGGT